CTTCTTCTTCTTCTTCCTGGACCGCGCCACCAACTGCTCACGGCCACAGAATGATGACCTGGAGTTTTCGCGCGATGAGATCGGCCCTTTTCTTGTCGCCTTCTTCAGGTGAAAGCATGACAGTCGCCATAGCCACGAGCTTCTTCTTCTTCTTCTTCTTCTTCTTCTTCCTACACCACGCCACCAACTACTCACGACCAGAGAATGATAACCTGGATTTTTTGCGCGATGACGTCAGCACTTTCCTTGTCGCCTTCTTCAGGTGAAAGCGAGGACGAGGGGAATCATGATCTGGATTTGCGATGACGTCAGCTTGACACGTGAACAAAAGCAGCCACGTCGTGCAAGAGCAGTCGCCATAGTTTGCCACCTTCTTCTCCTTCTCCTTCTTCTCCTTCTTCTCCTTCTTCTTCTCCTTCTTCTTCTTCAAAAAAAAAAAAGGGCGTCAAATAGGTGACCAATAAGGGGAAAAAAAGAAGAAGGGTGGATGCTGCAACAGAAAAAAAAAAAGAAAAAAAAAAAAAGGAGGTGCACGATCTGAAATCCGACTGTGATTTTCATCGACATCTGGGGCGAGATCCCACTAGCAAAGAGGATTGGAGTGAACACCTGACTGAACGTGGACTTTTTTGTGGAAAGGTGCAGAATGTCGAGATTGAACGGCTTTTCCGAATCTCTGCTTAAAACACGTCCAGATTCAGGATATTTATCCAACCCTCTTTGCTAGTGGGACCTCACTCCTAGATGCATCTTTGCGCGCAGCCAACTCATGATCTTTTCTTCTTCTTCGTTTTTTTTTTTTTGTTTTTTTTTTTTTGTTAGTCATGATCTTTTCATCCGATCTCCATGGCTGCTTTTTTTTTTAATCTTTTCGTTTCTTTGTTTTGTCTTTTATACTTTTAAAATATTTTCGTCTTTTTTTTTGTCTTTCATAATTTTATTGGTTACGTCGTAGTTTGCTGCAAGTTGCGGCTCCCTGAAGTGACGCACATCATTATATTATTCTTTCTTTTTTTTTTATTATTAGAATCACTATATTCTTTCTTATTTCTGTATTTTATTAGAATAACAAATTAATAAGTTAAGGAGCGCACTAATGTATAGATTACTTACTTTTAAAAACGCACATCATTATTATATCATTTCTTATTATTTATTTACTTTAAAAAACGCACATCATTATTATATCATTTCTTATTATTATTTGATTAGGATAGGATTACTTTATTTTCCTTTTTTTTTCCGGGAAGGATGTCTACGGTTTTTTGGGGGGTAGGATTACTTCAAAAAAAAAAAAAAAAGAACGTTCCCAACACATCCGCTAACTAATCGTGAGCCGATATTTTCACTGCGACAAGAAGAAAAACGACAATCAGGACACCCACCAACCACCACCCTACCCCCACCCTACCCCATCGGTCAGTTGATTTCGAGTCTGCAAAACAATTGGGAGAAAAACAAAAAGCGATCTGGTCTTTGAAAAAAAAAAAAAAGAGATCTGGTCAGACATAGGTCGTCGCCTACCTAGAAAGCGTGGCCACGTGGCAACGACTCCCGGGACGCACCGCCACGTGGCAACAACATTGCCAAGTATAAACCGCGATCCAATTGTTTTGTCCCCCCCTCTCCTACTCCCCTTTCCTTCATTGTTCTCCCCACTCCAGCCCGCAGCCCCCTTCCCTCCCCCCCTCCCCCCCTTGCCTGTCCCCACCTTAGCCCCCTTCTTCGCCCCTCCTTTCGGGCGACGAAGAAAACCGGCCCTGCCCCCGCGCCCTCCGGCCCTCCCCCCGCGCCCTACAGAGCTGGAGAACGGAGGTGAACTGCGCCAACCTGCCAGTGCTCAAGGCCGCAGTGTTACGATGGGAAGTACGGGGATTAATAAAAATAGGCCCTACACAGAATAGGAAAGGAGTGGTGATTAATACGGGAGGTGTACGGAATAGGAAATACGGGTACTACACGGAATAGGAAAGGAGAGGAGTGGGGATCAATACGGGAAGTGTACGGAATGGGAAATACGGGTACTACTACACGAAATAGGAAAGGAAAGGAGTGGGGATTAATACGGGGGAAAGTGTACGGAAATAGGAAATACGGGTACTACACGGAATAGGAAGGGAGTGGGGAGTGTACGGAATAGGAAATACGGGTACTACACCGAACAGGAAAGGAGTGGGGTTTTATACGGGAAGTGTACGGAATAGGAAATACGGGTGCAGCACGGAATAGGAAAGGAGTGGGGAGTGTACGGAATAGGAATTAGGGGTACTTCACGGAATACAAAAGGTGCGGATTAATTCGGGTAGTATTCGGAACAGGGGGTGCGCTGGGAGTATTAACGTGGGGTGGGTAGGGTAGGTGGCCTATCCTGTCAGGACAACCCTTGGCTGCCGCTACCAGCAATCACCGCGGGTCTGGTCCTTGCCCTCTACAACACCCTGGGCTTTAGACAAAATAAAAGGAAAGGAGTCTTTGAGAACGACAAGTGCATTCGTCAAGGGAATGGAGGGGGTAAGGTCAGTGTCAGTCCAAATTGATGATCTGAACCTTTCCCCCTTTAGCAAAGGCCTCAATTCCCTTGACGAGTGCATTCGACAAGTGCGTTCCAGGTCGGTGTCAGTGCAAATGGAGGGGCTATTCTGCCTCCGCTATATTCTATATTTGCTGGGAGTTGGGTCGAGGGAATCGGGTGTGAGAGTGCAGGAGTGCAGGACGCGCAAAATAACGTGAAGGCTATGATCTGAGAGCAGTTGCATTCCGTATAAGACGGACGCTGTGCACGGTTTCCGGCAGGTGCAGCTCCCCACCCCACCAATAGCTTGGAGCCATCCCTTTAGCAAGGCCTCGATTTCGGTGGTAAGCTTTGTGAGCCATCCCTTTAGCAAGGCCTCGATTTCGGTGGTAAGCTTTGTGAGCCATCCCTTTAGCAAGGCCTCAATTCCGGCCGGTGGTGTACTCACCACAACAGGATAGTGGCCTTTGCACTGTGATGTTCTTCAAGGGGAAGTGGGGGGGGGGAGGGGGAAGGGGGAAGGGGGGAAGGGGGGAGGGAGAAAAAAAGACTCACAGGGCCTTGCTTGCGCCCTGTGTGAGTTAAAAAACAAAAAGGGGGGGGGGGAGGAGAAGGGGGGGGAGGGAAATATTGAGCAAAAGAACCCCTCCCCACCTCCTCCCAGCCAGATGTCGGGCCTCTTTTCTTTTATTAGTTATGTTTTTATTTTATTTTTTGAATGTGGTCCGAAGACGGACGACAGAGCAGATGCTACACTTGATCTGAACCCCTCCCCCTCCTCCTCCAGCCCAGATGCCAGCCCTAAAACTGGAATGCTAGGGCTGCTGGTAAGAGCAGACACCACTAGCATTTCCCAGGGGGCTCCATCTATTGGTGGGGAGCAGCACCTGCTGGAAAGCGGGTCCAGCATCCCTGAACATTTAGTTTGCTTCTTCAATTGTTTTACTTCATTTTTTAATGTCAGACCAAGGAGCAGATACTACACTCGATCTATTTTTAGACAAAGGCCGAGGAAGGTACAGGGCACACTTCCTCTTCTCCGCTGCCACAACCATTTCCCCGCTTTGTAATTGAAAGTTCTGTTTTTTATTAAAACAAGTGGACTCCCCGCAGCCACGCTGCGGTCAAGGACGACGCCAAAAACATTTTGCAAAACACCCCAGACATCGGTTGGATCCCCATCTTTGCAATGCACCTCACCAGATACCGTCCAACTTTGCAAAGTGCCGCGGTAGTCACCAACTTTTTGTGGGTGCAAATGCAAAAAAAGCGCCCAATTTCCAGGGACATTTTGACATATATCCCAACATATGGGGGTATTTGGCCAATTACCCCCCCCCCAAAAAAAGGCCAACGGCATCTTCTCGGCATTTGGAGGACTCGAAAGATATGCCATCTCTCTCTCTCTCTCTCTCTCTCTCTCTCTCTCTCTCTCTCTCTCTCTCTCTCTCTCTCTCTCTCTCTCTCTCTCGGTCGCTCGTGTGTGCGCGCGCGTCCCCTTGTGCAACCTCCTCCCCCTATCGCGACGTCCTCGTCCTCCCTTACGACCCCCTCCCGCTCGTACGAAATCCTCCCCCTAGCACGACCTCCTCCTTCCCCTGCCGCATGACCTCTGCAACCTCTCGTCCCCAGCATGTGATCTGCTCCTACCCCTCCCATGACCCACTCCTCCCCTTTGCACTGCGTCCTCCTCCCCCTCGCGCGACCTTCTGACACCTCTCTTCCGACCTCATCCAGCTCCTCCTCCTCCTTACAGCACCTCCTCCTCCGCTCATGTGTCCTCGTCCGGCCTCCTCAAACCACTCGCGCGACCTCCTCCAACCTCCCTTCCGACCTTCGCTGCAACCTCTCGTCCTCCTCGTGCGACCTGCTCCTCCCCTTTTTCCGACCTCCTCCTCTCCCTTGTGCCACCTCCTCTTCCCCCTTGTGCAACCTCTTGCTTGTCCTTGTGCGAACTGTTCCTCCCCCTCCCACTCCGTCTTCCGATCTCCTCTTCTCCCTTATGCAACCTCTGTGCGACCTCCTCCTCTCCCTTGTGCGACCTCTTCCTACCCCTCGCGTGACCCCCTCCTCCCTCTGTGCGACTTCCTCCCTCTCTTCCGACCCTCCTCCCCTCGCGCGACCTCCTAATCCTTGTGCGACCTCCTCCTCCCCCTCACGAGTCCTCTTCCACCTCCTCATCCACCTCGCACGACCTCCTCCCCCTTGTGCCACATCCGCTTCCCCTCGCACGACCTCCTCCTCCCCCTCGTGCCACCTCCTCCAATCTCTCTTCCTACCTGCTCCCCCTTGTGCGATCTCGTCCTTCCCCTCTTTTGACCTCCTCGTCCCGCTTGCACAACCTCCTTCTCCCGCTTGCACAACCTCCTCCTCCCACTTGCACAACCTCCTCCTCCCGCTTGCACAACCTCCTCCTCCCACTCTCCGATGGCGGCCGAATAGTAGCATGCGAAAAACCACCCAAAAGGCGAGGATTAAAAAAAAAAGAAGCGACGACTCCTCGTGCGACCCGCTCCTCCCCCTCTTCCGACCTCCTACTCTCCCTTGTGCCACCTCCTCCCACTGCTCCTCCTCCTCCTCCTCCTCCTCCTCCCCCTCCCGCTCCTCCTCCACCAAACAACGTGACAAAGATCCCGCCATAGCCCCGCTCCCGCTC